AAGAGTGAAGAATTATTCTTGGGATTTTTTTCCCAGTCAGGCACTTCAGCATAGAGAGGTTTCTGGTGGGGTATCACTGAGCGTTTCTGTGTTCAGCTGAGCTCGCTGCAGGGATGCGCATTCTCCACCTCTGCAAGCCCAAGCTTTTGCAGCTGGCCTGACACCAGGGAGAGGGGGCTGAGGTCAGGCTCTGGCAGTGCCTTCTCCCCAGGCTGCTCACGGACATGCCTGTGCCAGAAAAGACAAAGCAGCCAGAGCGTGAAACCGTTCCTCAGGAGGAGGGAGACAGAGCTGGAGAACCATCCCTACACAACGCGTGCTGTGGTGAGACCACACACAGCGTGTGTGACACCCCAACACACACACCATTATTTTTTTTTTTTACAGGAAACTGAGCCTGCACAGCAGAACTCCACCAATGTCCCAGACACTGGATGGTGAGGGTGTTTTATTGGGGTGGGGGGAAGCCCTGCGTTCTTATTGTGCTGTGATTTATATGGCAAGATGGGAGGAGCTGTGTCGTCCCTGCCCATGATGAGAAGCAGGGCAGTATGTACAGGAACAGGTGAAACGGATTCATGGTAAAGGAGGATATTTTGGGCACAAAACATTTCTTATGGGGTGTAAGGACATTGTTCCTATTTTTATTTACGTTCTCCTAAACAAGTCCTGCTACACTGAGAGTCTTATCGCTGTTATGTTGTCACACTCTATTTGAGACTGACCTGCAAGTGAGTTAAGCGTGTTAGAAATGCCCAGGCTAGCTGTCTGTACGTCTGAGCTCTCACAAGCTCAGGCAGCACAACAACCAAAGGCTGGAGAAAAGGGAGGAGGAAGGAGCTCGTACAAAAGTGAGTGTAGCTGGCATTGGCTTGGGGAGGTTTGGGGCCTGGGTCCCAGGAGAGCAGAGCACCTCTCTGCCCAGTGAGACCCGCGTGGGTGCTCCCCAGCTCTCAAAAACCTGTCTCTAGGTTACTTGTCTGTGATGATTATCTTGGGCAGTCACACCAGAGCTTGATATTAGCGGTACCCTGGCACAGAGGGGCAGAACAGAGAAAGGTGCCGGTGCCTGCCGGGCAAGACAACAGCACAGTGACCTGGTCTAGTTAGAGGCTTGAAGGCACAGGCAGCACTTGCCAATGGCATCACTAAATTTTCACATTGACACATCCCTCTGCCTATGTTTTAACAGGAAATTAAGCTAACACTGTAAAATAACATCACTTGTCTTTTTGCCAATTCCTACGCATTTTTTTGGAGGGGCAAGGCATCAGGTTATATATTTCTCAATTTCTTTGTCTCTCTTAGGGTTGGATTATCCCAGCAACTCTGAACTTCCTTTTCTGAGGAGCTGTGGCAGAACTAGAACTTACGAGCTTCTTGCAAACCTTCCAAACTTCTCTCTTGCTTCGTAAGTAGCACATGTGAGTCATACATAACGGTCTCAGAACACATTTCTTCCTGGTTTTATATCGCGTTCCGTTTGTCGCCCAGCATGATTACAAGGTTTAGTATTTGCAGTGTCCTATTACCCAAATCCCAAACTCGAGTTACACTTCATGGATAACTTCTGGACAAATGGCTTGATTCCCGTGTGACAGCTGAGAAATACGTACAGTGAAGCCCATGCTGGAGATGATTTTGCATTTCTCCCCCTCCTCCTGCTGTGCAGCAATATGCACCTTTGCCAGCAGAAACAGGGAGTAAATCTCTGTCCCTCTTCCTCATGGATAGGGTGCCTGTGGTTTGAAGATACCCCTGTGTCCCCAGGGACAAGGATTTCTTGCTGCAGCCTCATCCCTGCTGCGTCCTCTCTCCTCTCCATCGCGCTGTGCTCTGGGCCCTCAACCTGGACCGGGACCCAGTCTCCAGCACAGCCCAGCCACTCCCAGAGGACCGTCTCAATTTTACCTGCAAAGTAACTGGAGGGCCACAGCTCACCTACATCCACTGGTACCAAATGTCAGCTGGGACCCACTCCCCACCCAGAGAGACCAGTCTATATCACCGTGTCTGGGTCTGATATTAACTGGGACACAGGTCTGCCCACGAAGGACTCATCCCCACAATGCCATGAACTTCTTGTACAGAGACATTGCAGCTCGTTTGCCCAGACATGGGAGAACAGCAGGCAAAAGGCCAGGAAGTCCTTGGGAGGGAACTGGAGGTATCCAAGAGAGAGAGGAGGAGGCAGGGAGAAGCAGTGTCCTAAAGGACTAGGGGACAGGAGGGCATTTTGGGTGAGGTTGTTGAGCTTGCATGTCTCGGAGCAGTTTTGAAGTTTTAGCCCAGGATAAGGAGCTTTATGGATGCAAAATCCAGAGGGATGAAGAAGCAGAATGCTTTCCAGATGTAAACAGGGAAGGGCACAGGAAAGGCTGGGGAATTCTTATGGGAGAAAACCACCTCCATGTCGCAGTCCTCCCTAAAGTACCTTCGGCTGAAGACCTGTGCCGAAGATCAAAGGGACTGCATAGTGCCTGTGATTTGCAAGGGACCATCCCAGGATCCGCATAGCACTGCCTGCTGCAGCTCCCTCTCGCTGCTCCAGAGCAATTCAGTACGAGTGCAGCGTTTGGGAGAGACATCCCATCAAGTATCCTACTTTCCACGACACTGAGCATCTTGTCCGTCCTTCCTAGGATGTTGACATCACAGCACTCAGTACAGATTCCTGAAAACCAGAAGCAAACAAGCCCTCTCTTCAAATCCTCTCTTCAAGCAAGGCAAGAAGAAAGACCCGGGGGACTACAGGCAGGTTAGTCCGATCTCCATCCCTGGGAAGGTGATGGAGCAACCAATCCTGCAAACCATTTACAGAGAGAGGAAGGTGAGGAAGGCAACCAGGTGTAGACAGCATTCATTTACAAAGGCCAAGTGATTTAGCCAGCTTTAGATACCGAAGCCACCTGCTAAATGGCTGTTGGCCATTTCCTCAGTGACAAGTCTTGCTGGTGATTATTTGAGCCTTGAAAGCTATGTTGTTGAAGACAACTCCAGCCACCTCATGTGTCCTCGGGAAACAGACACCAACATGTTTGATCTGTAAATATGTCTACAGGGAGACTTGCCATGTTAAAAAGCTACAGTAGAAAACCTAGACAGCATCTGTAATATAGACATTAAGTGTTGTGAGACCCAGCCACTACCGTATTCCTTTACTCTTCACCTGGCATCAGGCACCTGACAGGTTTCTGCTCTGCCATCAGAAGAACAGCCTCATGTTGCTACTGTTTTATACATGGCCTGGTAGTTTTTGGCAGCGGGGGTTTGCTTTCAGGTCCTCGATGTCCCATTGCCAAGGCAGTTTTCACTCTCATTAACGACAGCTGCCCAGGCAGGAGATTGCCCTGGGATGCTGCTGGGATGGGTGACCTTCTCCTTGAGCCTTCCTCCCTTCACCTGAAAGTCTGTTTCGCAGTTCTCTCCTCCTCCTCACTTGGTCTTTTCCTGCTGGTCCTTAAGTCATTTCTCCTTCTCATCCCGGTCAGGGAGGCCTGAGAGAAAACTAAATAGACTTTCCCACGGTGGTTTCCTGGGGAGAGCGGGACCCTCTCCACTGCCATCACGCAGAGGCACCTGTGTCTCCTTGCCTGCTTCTCCCCGCAGCCCTGCGCTCACGGGCACCTTTCCAAGCCCGTCAGCAACCCCTGCTCACCACCAGTTGCTGCATGTGGGCAACTGCCCGCAGGAGGGAGGCCGAAGCCGCTCTTCTCCCTCGCTCGAGGTGAGATGCAGACCG